AATACTCTGGTTTTCTTGGTGGTGTCCAGTAACAGTCTCCTGTTCTGCTTTCTTTGAGTGACTCACTTTTTTTTATCTAAAGTGTATTGCACTTCTTTATACTTCCATATGCTGTAACAGAATATAACTTTGCTACTCTTTGAAATGCAGAGATGGCATTCTTTGAAGGATGTGGCTTTAATGTGTGTTATGAGTAAGTGTTTGAGTGTGTTTCACATTTTCTTAAGTAGTTCTCTTTTAAAAATTTTGGCACGTTGTTAGCTATCATGCAAAATATTTTGCTAGGTCTTCACAAGAGCTTCACTTGATGCTCAGTAACAAAAAGAAACTGAACATTAATCATTTGGCATAAATTATACTAAGATCTACAGTAAGAAAGAAAAAAAAATCCTTTCTGCACCTATGATGTTTCCTCCCATATGCCATGTTTATCATAATGAATCATATACAAAACTAAAAGAATAGGACAGAGGATCCCACTGGATAGTTTTGGGAATTAGCAGCAGGCTCTATTGGATAACAGTCTCTTTAAGAGGAAAAACAGCATGACTAACAGAGTTTGGAGGAGAGGAATGCAGGAAGGCCTGTTGGAGAGTGGAATTATGGGTTTCCTACAGCCAACAGAAGGATAAAGGGAAGGGAAGTTACCTATTTTACAAATGTATATGGCCCCATCATGATAATACCTGAGCACCTCACAAACTTTTTATTGTATTTCACAGCACCTCTGTGAGGTAGGGAAGTGCTTTTCCCACTGTTTTACAGATGAGGTACTGAGGCAAAGAGAGACTAAGGCCATATCTACACTACCACTTATGCCAGAAAAACTAATGTCGCTGAAGGGCGTGAAAAACATGACTTACGAGGAGAGGCTGAGGGAACTGGGGTTATTTAGTCTGCAGAAGAGAAGAGTGAGGGGGGATTTGATAGCAGCCTTCAACTACCTGAAGGGGGGTTCTAAAGAGCTAGGCTGTTCTCAGTGGTGGCAAATGACAGAACAAAAAGCAATGGTCTCAAGTTGCAGTGGAAGAGGTCTAGGTTGGATATTAGGAAACACTATTTCACTAGGAGGGTGTGAAGCACTGGAATGGGTTACTTGGGAGGTGGTGGAATCTCCTTCCTTAGAGGTTTTTAAGGCCCGGCTTGATAAAGCCCTGGCTGGGATGATTTAGTTGGGAATTGGTCCTGCTTTGAGCAGGGGGTTGGACTAGATGACTTTCTGCGGTCTCTCCCAACCCTAATATTCTATGATTCTAAACACATACCATAAGTGATAGCGTCCACATCACTATGTCAGCAGGAGAGCATCTCCTGCTGATATAGCTACCGCTGCTCATTGAGGTGGTTTTATGATGTTGTCTGGAGAGCTCTATGACATTGGCATAGATCGGCTACATGAGCGATCTTATAGTGGTGCAGCTGCATCGGTATAGCTGTGCCACTCTAAGCTCACTAGTGTAGACATAACCTAAGCCAGTGGTTCTCAAAACTGGTCCGACGCTTGTTCAGGGAAAGCCCCTGGCAGCCCAGGGCGGTTTGTTTACCTGCCGCGTCCGCAGGTTTGGCCGATCATGGCTCCCACTGGCCGCGGTTCACCGCTCCAGGCCAATGGGGCCTGCGGGAAGCCACAGCGAGCACATCCCTCGGCCCGCGACGCTTCTCGCAGCCCCCATTGGCCTGGAGCGGCGAACAGTGGCCAGTGGGAGCCGCGATCGGCCGAACCTGCAGACGTGGCAGGTAAACAAACCGGCCCAGCCCGCCAGGGGCTTTCCCTGAACAAGTGGCGGATCGGCTTTGAGAACCACTGATCTAAGTAACATGCCCAAGGTCTGACAGGAATTCTGTGGTGGAGCATGGAATTGTACCCATGTCCCAAGCTAGTACCTTCACCACTGGGTCATCCTTTGTCTCCACAGAGGTACAGTAGTCACTTATGGTCTCCTCCATCTCCCCATTTTCAATGAGAGTTAGGAAGATGGATGTGTCTTTAAACAGTTTTTTGAATCTTGTGTCAAAATGAACTGAAAATTGTATTAAGTACTGACAAAAGTTCAGATTGATTCTTACTTCATCCCAGATGGTTTGATCATTCGTAGATAAAGACTTCATTTTATGTGAATAGTTTAGTACATGGATAAGTTTTAGTTATCTTCAGAAATCTGCACATCTTTGTACATGTCTCTGACATACCACTCTGAAACAGAGAAATAATTTCTTCTTATATTGTAAGATAATGAATAGTAGAATGTCAAATATGCAAGTAGGAAGCAAATTGCATAGAGGCCAGTTTCAAATATATAAAAAGAGACTCTCTAATCACATCTGAATTTTTTGTCTTCTGCATATACAACAAAAAATGCTTGCCAGTACTTGTCATACACTACCATGTATATAAAATGTCCATGCACAGTACTCATCTGCTGAACCACGTGAAAAACCTACAGGACCAGGAGAGTTTAAAGAAAGAAAGACTCTTTAGTTAGTTGAGCCATGTTGTATAAAGCCAAGTTTCTGCTTCTGAAAATGTAGACACTCTGAAATAAATTTCTCACTTTTATTTAATGTCATAGAATCTCAACAGAAACACCTATGTTTAATATTTTTTATTGTTTTTTTCTGCTTTGAAAACTGTGCACTAGTTTTTGATTACAGAGAAAATATTTCATCTCCAAGTTAGACTGCAAATTAATCCTTAAAATGCAAATAGAACAGAAACCTTTCATAAAGATCCTTAACAATACTTTGGAGTCCAATCCAGCAAAAAGAAATGTGTATATGTTTGACTGCACTGCAGAATTTTATACAAATGGCTAAATAGTTTTGTATGAACATTTTTATATTTTTCTTTAATATTTTATTTATTATGACAATTAATCTTTTTATAGAAATACAGAATCTGAACTCTCCATTTAGGTAGAAGGCACAGCTGATTTAAGTTAGATTTAAAGGCTGCTATTCTCCTTTGCGTAGTTATGTAGAAAATAGGGCTGTCAAGCGATCAAAAAAATTAATCATCATTAATCATGCGATTAATCACACTGTTAAAGAATAATAGAATACTATTTATTTAAATATTTTTGGATGTTTTCTACATTTTCAAATATATTGATTTCAGTTACCATACAGAATACAAAATGTACAGTGCTTACTTTATATTATTATTTTGGATTATAAATATTTGCATAGTAAAAACAAAAGAAATAATATTTTTTCAATTCAGCTAATACAAATAATGTAATGCAATCTCTTTATCATGAACGTTTAACTTACAAACGTAGAATTATGTAAAAAAACTAACCACACTCAAAAATAAAATAATGTAAAACTTTAGAGCCTACAAGTCCACTGAGTCGTACTTCTTGTTCAGCCAATCGCTCAGACAAACAGGTTTGTTTACTTTTGCAGGAGATAATGCTGCCTGGCTGCTTCTTATTTACAACATCACCCGAAAGTGAGAACAGGCATTTGCCTGGCACTGTTGTAGTAGCTGGCGTCGCAAGATATTTATGTGCCAGATGAGCTAAAGATTTATATGTTCCTTCATGCTTCAACCACCATTCCAGAGGACATGCATCCATGCCGATGATGGGTTCTGCTTGATAATGATCTAAAGCAGTGTGGACCAACGCATATTGATTTTCATTGTCTGAGTCAGATGCCACCAGCAGAAGGTTGATTTTCTTTTTTGGTGGTTTGGTTCTGTAGTTTCCACATTGGAGTGTTGCTCTTTTAAGACTTCTGAAAGCTTGCACCACACCTCGTGTGTCTCAGATTTTGGAAGGCACTTCAGATTCTTAAACCTTAGGTCGAGTGCTGTAGCTATCTTTAGAAATCTCACATTGTTTGGCAAATCTGTAGTGAAAGTGTTCTTAAAATGAACAACATGTGCTGGGTCATCATCCAAGATTGCTATAATATGAACTATATGGCAGAATGCGGGTAAAACAGAGCAGGAAGCATACAATTCTTCCCCAAGGAGTTCAGTCACAAATTTAATTAACTTTTTTTTTAATTTTTTTTTTTAATGAGTGTCGTCAGCATGGAAGCATGTCCTCTGGAATGGTGGCCGAAGCATCAAGGGGCATATGAATGTTTAGCATATCTGGCACGTAAATACCTTGCAATGCTGGCTACAAAAGTGCCATGAAAATGCCCGTTCTCACCTTCAAGTGACATTGTAAATAAGAAGCGGTCAGCATTATGTCTTGTTTGTCTTAGCAATTGGCTGAACAAGAAGTAGGACTGAGTGGACTTTTAGGCTCTGAAGTTTTTGTTTTTGAGTGCAGTTATGTAACAAAAAAAACTACATTTGTAAGTTGCACTTTCACGATAAAGAGATTGCATTACAGTACTTGTATGAGGTGAATTTAAAAATACTATTTCTTTTGTTTATAATTTTTACAGTGCAAGTATTTGTAATAAAAATAATAATATAAAGTGAGCACTGTACACTTTGTATTCTGTGTTGTAATTGACATGAATATATTCGAAAATGTAGAAAAACATCCAAAAATATTTAATAAATTTCATTTGGTATTGTATTCTTTAACAGTACAATTAAAAGTGTGATTAATCGCAATTATTTTTTTTTAATCATGATTATTTTTTGAAGTAATTGCATTAGTTAACTGTGATTAAACGAAGCCCTAATAGTGAACAAAAAATATCAATCAACTCTTGTTTTCCTCTAAATTAGCTGGACTGTACTATGAAAGAAAGACAGAAGAGAACCATTTCCTTGGTGAAATGGAGTATGTTTATATGCACTTTAACGCTGTTTAATTGTCCATACAAGAAAGTTTGTTTCTTTTACTTGTGGTTTCATATCACTGGACTGTAGTGTAGACTTAACTGTTTAAGACAGAATCTGAAGTCATATGCGTTAAAATAGTTTATAACCTATGTTTTCTAAGCAGGCTGTTTGAGGTGGATTATCAACTGCTTTCTGCAGATTATCTGATCACCACAGTTGAATTAAATTGATGTTTGTTATTTTTTAGATGTGCCATCCAGTCCCTACGGAGTAAGAATTATAGAATTGTCACAGACTATTGCAAAGGTCTCTTTCAATAAGCCAGATTCACATGGAGGTGTGCCCATTCATCATTACCAAGTGGATGTGAAAGAAGTTGCTTCAGAAACTTGGAAAGTAGTGCGCTCCCATGGAGTTCAAAGTGAGTCTGTTAAAAAGTAAATATATATATATATATAATAAGAGACTATCAAGGAGTAATAATATCAATTCTTGTTAACTGAGTCTGTCTCACCTATCAATATTACTTGTTGGGCCATATCCTCAGTTACTGTGGATAGTTCTATTGACCTCAGTGGAACTAAACCTGTTTACACAAGCTGAGAATCTGGCCTTTTGTAGTCTTTTAAAAGTTCATTGATATTATTTCTTGGTTTTACAGAAGTCTGGTAAGCAAACTCAAAGTTATTCAAAAAGTAGTGATTTAGATTTGTTTATTATGCCAGTTATGCAATATGAAGAACACTGTTTGTAAAGTGATCAATCACAAAGAAGTGAAATCACAGAAGAGTTAAATTAAGAGTTTTGAATATGCTTCACTATGCATTTAATTAAGAAATATTAAGAGGGCTACAGCATGCTATTTAAGTCCTGATGATGAATTACTGATTTTGAGCTACTCTATAACCTTTTATATATTTGTTAATCTTTCTTACGAATGTTTTAAAACATATTTATAAAATATTAATAACTAGTGTTTCTTTAGTGCTAAAATAAATGTCTTGAGATATTGAATGGTTGAGATGCTGGACAGATGGGCCAGAACTTGGCCAACCCTGTGGCCACTTTGTACCACTCTGAAGACACAAAATATCTATAAGCCTCATCTAAATAGAGTCACCTGAGGATTCCCCTGGCATCGGTGAGTCAGGTGAATGCCTAGAGGAGATGGAGGGATGTTGGCCAGAAGGTGTTGCAGTACAGCAACCCCTGTCAGGCCCTGCCCTGCCCTTGGGTGTTGTTCTCAGCTGGTATAGGTTAGAGTAGCCCTGAGACTCCTGATTTACACAGGGGCTGAACTAACTTCCATTGTCTACAGAATTAGGGGAACACAAATGTGTCCAATCTCTCTGACTCTCACGCACATGTTCTGTGTTAAGCATAGTCCAGTCAAATCAAGAGGACAGGATGAGGGGTTGAACCCCAAATCATCTCCTTTTAATCTTTAGTATGGTATTATTATAGCTAAACACAATCTTTTTGACAATTTTCCAGATATGTTCCCATTGTGTGTGTGTGTGTGTGTGTGTATATATATATATGTTCACCTTTTTCAAATGGGAATATCTTAAAATTAAAACTTTCTGAATTTGAAATGAAACAGATACTAAGGATTTAAGGATGAGATTTTGACAGCTGGAAACAATTCGCAGACCTGGTTTGGAAATTTTCTGATGGAATATTTTTCTGTTGGAACATGCCAATTTGTCTATAGTAGACATATTCGCAGAAATATGTCAATATTGATGAAAGCTTGTTAAAAAGAAAAACTGGAAAAAAGTGTTCTGATGTCATTGAAATGTTCCATTTTGACCTTTTCAGAATTGGACATTTCAATTTTCCATTTTGAAATTATATTTGTTTCAAAGTTGTATGTTATATAATCTAAAATAAAAAAGGAAAATTGGAACAAAATATTTCAATTATATCTAAGTGAAATCTTTTGATCACCCCTAGATATATATTCTAAAAACATTATCAACAGTTTGTGTAAGTTGGATAATGTCTTGGCCATAGTGCATCTTACCACATCAGTAACATTTAGCCTCCAGAACTCAGAATTTTTGCAGGTCTAGGGAAAACAGGATGTATTAAGAGAATCCATTTCCTCCAGTAGCATGGCATGGGTGTGGATGGTCTTCCTTCTCTCTCCATCCCATTTTTCCTTTTGCCTTAGAGCAAGAATGATGCAATGAACCGAGACTAGGAGCCTGCACTGAGAATTACAACATACTAAACACTCAATGATGAAAAAAATTAAGTTGCATTGCTATGTAGCAGATTGTGATATAGTGAAATGTAATCTGGACCCTGTTACCATAGACAATACAGTTGGCATCTGGGTGTGATATTAGCAAAATGCTTAATTTAAGCTGAGAGATAAGCTAAAGAAGAGAATGCCTTAGCATTAACTGTGTATCACAGTATGTTAAGTCAACTCCCCAGATGACTTTCTTTGAATTTTATTCTTTGTTTTTAATGTTGGGAGTGTACAGAGATGAACTGATTACATAAAAAAGTAATTTATCAGTACTTCCTGGAGTTGTCTTTTTGCCATGTTTTCCACTGTTTGATTTTGAAAGATTTTTTTTTTTTTGGCATTACACTTTATAGCTGATTCATGTGTTTTGAGTTAGGGGAACAAGGCTTGTTGATTGCTGGGATTGCTTCAAACTGAGAGTACCCTGGTGAGCCACAAGTACTTGCCGTTTGTGATCAGCACCTCTGTGAACAAGACTGTGAAACTCCTTGGATCTGCATAGCCATACCACTCAAGTGGTGCAATGTGGTACACAGCCCCTCAGAATGAGTGGCAATATGGGACACTAAACCTCATAATGCCCCCCATTGTTTCTTGCTGTCCCCTTTTTTCCTCTGTATTCCTTTTTAAAATTCCCTTTTCTCCACAATTTCCCCTCTCTTTCCCTTAGTGTCACACTCTATCTCCTTTCAACTATCCAGCTCCACTTCCCTTGAGTCTCTTACTTTGCACTCCAAAAAAAATCAGATTATCCTCAGATGTCTCAGAAGTAGATAATATTTGTGACTACTTCTGCTAGTAGTAACAGTTAGGAGTCCCACTCTCCAAAACTTGAAGAATCATTTTTCAACTTCAGAGAGGCTCTGTGCTTTGTAAATAGATGAAAAATTGAATGTCTGACCATATGAGGGAGCGTTGAGTGTGCAGTTGATTCCAGTAAAAAATTCATCAAGTATCCATAGTTAACACAGGATGATATAGTAAATTGTTGTTTCTGCTAGTATACCGAAGACTTTAATAAAGATTTGTAAAATATTTTATGGATACAGTGCAGTCCTTGAAACTATTGTAAATATAAGAAACTACTGAAATATCTCTGAGACCACTGGAGGAACACGTTCATTTTTAACAGCCCAGATTGGTAAACATACACAGATTGGTAATCCTATACTATACTGTCTGACAGAGCAATAAAATGTGCCTGATTTATTTTAATTGTAAAATGGTGCAGATATTGCAAGTGTATTGCATTTCAGTTTTGTTTGGCTGTTCTTAATGATGTACTGTAGTCACAAAACAAAAATCCCTTTATTGACTATCCCTTCATTACAGAGACAGAGAAAAAGAAGTTCACCAAGCCAAAACTATCATAAAATAGTCTTTCTGATCTTCTATGACAGGCAACCACTAACATTGCAGGACTGCTTCAGCATGTTTTCTAAAAGTCTTTCTAAACTCCACTTTGTTACTTTTTATCCCATTTGCAATGTCATTGTAGTTAACATTGAGATAGCACTTCCATATTAAATCCCTATTTTCAGTTGTTTAGAACTTTTCCAAAAAAGTATCTTTGAGATCGGTTGCAGTTTCTCCTGTTTTTCTCAGCCTACAACCGCTGCTGCCGCTTTTTCCCCTCCCTTATTGAAAATACTTTCCCCCATTTTTGACTTTTTGAATAAGAAAAAAGTCTTCCAGTGTAATAAATCTTGAGACGGTTTGTTTCTGCGTGCTTAGATAATTCATAACCAGTTTTCTTTTAAGCCTTTACCCCTGCTATCTTGCCTGCTCCTCAATGGAGGATAGATCCATAGACTTTAAGATCAGATTGGACCATCATGACCCACCCACTCTTGTAATAGATGCCTAACCTCTGGCTGAGTTACTGAAGTCCATAAATCATGATTTAAAGACTTCAAGTTATAGTGAATCCACCATTTATACTAGTTTAAACCTGCAAGTGGCCCGTGCTCCATGCTGAAGGTGAAAAAACCCCAGGGTCTCTGCCAACCTGACCTGGGGGAGATTCCTTCCTGACCTCAAATATGGCAATCATTTGGACCCTGAGCATGAGGGCAAGATGTACCGACCAGACATCTGGAAAAGAATTCTCTGTAGTAACTCAAAGCCCTCCCCATCTAGTGTATCATTATGGGCCATTGGAGATATTTGCTACTAGCAGTTACAGATCGGCCACATGCCATTGTCTGTGTGTACCACATGTCTGCAAACTTTCCTTACTGTTTATAAGAAGGTAAAAGTCAAAAAGTCATGGTATGATTTTCTATTGCCTTTCACCTTCTACAGTCATTTAGATCTGTGAAAACTTGGTATTGAATGCTATGAAAGCAGAATGGTAGAGTTTCACACTCTTTTGACCTCTGGTGCAAATGACGGCATTAGGTGCAAAGTAAAGGTGAACCAGGCCCTCAAATGTAGTGTTTCACAATCCCTCCCCACACACTTTGCACGAATATAAATGACTGCACAATGTACAAGGCAGAGGAGAATCAAACCTCAACTATCTTGGTGCTGCCCTAGTTATGAAATGTAAACCATACTATTCATGTTCTGCTAGGATAGATTGCTATATATACACTTTCCCAAAGGGAATGCAGATTAACATATTATCATTCATAACTAAATTTCATTCATTTTAATATATTCTGTGGGTCAATACTGAACAGCACAGTCTGTAAGAAGGGTATGTTCTCCTAATTTCTATGCTTTTCTTGCTGTGCTTCATTATAATGTAAACTAGGAGGAATAATACGTTTATTTCCATAAAAATGCTTAGTTCCATGTTTCATTATTACAAAAGGATTTTTTTGTCAGTATGTGGGCTACAAATGGTACAACAGGGTGATTTTAAACAGAGACAGAAAGACACACACATAGAGAAATGTAACACTTAATAATTAGGTGTCAACCATGTTTTCTTTAGGAACAATTTGTAAGGGAAAATAAATATATAAATATGTAGCATTTTACAGATTGCTCCCAAATAGTTCTCAAGTTATAAGTACCATGACTAACTTTCAGGGCCGGCTCTAGGATTTTTGCTGCCCCAAGCAAAAACAAAAACAAAAAAACTCTGGAAAAACAACCGCCCAAACAAAAAAAAAAAAAAAAAAAGGTGTCCGGAATGCTGCCCCTGAAATTGT